TCATATGACTTCAAGCCCTTCATGTTGCTCCATCTCAGGGGTTTCTGTCTGAAGTGAATTGGGATGCTGAATATTTCTTGCACATGCACATGAGTCAAAAGTGTAAGAAGAACGACGGTGTAACGTGTCTGCACCGCCGTTTAATCTCACGTAATTGTGTGGATTTTCCCCCGTATATAGAAAAGTAAAAAGTAACTTTTGTGACCTTTGAAAAATGAAAAGTAATATATTAATGAATTATTAATTTCATGTATTTGTGGCTCCTAAAAATCATGGCATTTCTGACATTGAGATTTTATAACATTTACTCCACGTGTCATTTAAATTAAATAGATTTTTCAGTATTATTTATCTGTTCATTTTTGGCATAAGCCTTGTTGTTTATTTTTCATCATCTGTTTATTTGCTTTATATTTAAATGTAAAGTTAAGAAGGCTAATAATGCACATATTTTCCACAAACATTGTAAAAAAAAATCCCACTCAAGACGACAAGGCTAAAAATAAGGGTTTTGAAACAAACACATTTTTGAGTCAATCTGAAACCAGCCATGCCCTCGCTTTTTGTCATGAGATGTAATGATAATCCCGTCTGCGCCCACCTTCACCCTGTGTCCAGGCGGATGTTGCAGTGCTGGTGGTGGATGCCAGCAGGGGAGAGTTCGAGGCGGGCTTCGAGGCAGGCGGTCAAACCAGAGAGCATGCTCTCCTGGTGCGATCGCTGGGCGTCACTCAGCTCGCTGTCGCCGTCAACAAGATGGACCAGGTCAGAGCTGTTACATTTTAATGATATGCAGTGTAGAGTTAACAGTCGGAGTTTGAGGCTTTTTTGAAAAAAAAAAAAAAATTAATACTACTCCTATATGTATTCTTGTTGGTTATTGAGTAATCTGTGAATTATTTTTTTCCATTGAATACGATAACAACAGCAACACCAACTCATCCTTTGTTCCAAAGCCACAGGAAATGAAAAACTGCTAGTTAAATATAAAGATATCTATATGGAAATAATAACAATAACACACACACATATACACACATATACATATGTACATATATATTAATTTCCAAGCAATCCCACACTGAAGACATTTTCTGCCATTTAATCCTTGTTTCTTCTGATCTTCCCTCCATGCTGTTTGTGGCGATTGTAGATCAGCCAATAGGTGAATGTTATTGTTAACTAATGAAGAATAAAGTATTTCTCACTGTATTACTGAACATTTTGTTTCTGTTCATAGAAAAAGTGCCTTTGTGAGAAAGTGCAGACTGTGACATACCCTTTCTTGTTGCTGACACATTTCCATTTCCATTTTTTCCTCCCATCTTCTCGTGCATCAGGTAAACTGGCAACAAGATCGATTTCAAGAAATCACGACCAAACTGGGTCATTTTCTCAAGCAGGCAGGATTTAAGGTAACCCATAAAACCTTATGAACTGTAATAACTGGAACTCACCAAATAACGTCAACCTGTTTTTGCAGGAGTCTGATGTTTTCTACATCCCAACCAGTGGCCTTTCAGGAGAGAACCTGACCACTAGGAGTTCAGTTTCAGAGCTCACCTCCTGGTTTTCTGGTCCCAGCCTGTTGGAACAAATCGGTAACAAACAGACGACGAAGGAGCTTCATGTTTGTTAAAGTTAAAGTTTTTAAAGTTTTTTCAGTTTGTTAAAGATAGTCCAAATGAGGGCATTAGAGGAAGAAGTAGTTAGCGTGTTAGCCTAACAGCTAGATGGTCACCAGTTGCTGGTTGGATTCCAAGCCTTATTTTTCAAATGTTTTTCTATGTGTGTGTTTTCACTTTGGGTCAACATGCAGAATGAAGTTTAGTGTTCACTCGATATTGATTACAGGTTTGACTGTGAGTGTGAATGACTTATTGTCTGTCTGTGTCGTCCTGTGATGGACGGGCGAGCGCTCCAGTCTGTTCCCCACTCTCACCCAATGACCTGTAGGAATTGACTCAAAATCTTAGTTGTCTTTACTGTGACCCGTGACGATCATTGCGAAACGAATGACGTACTATTTAAATGATTGATCATTGTGGTTACCAAGTTTCTCAGAAAATGGTCCATTTGTTTTCCGCTTTCTTAAAAATGTTTTTTTTCCTTGTGTGTCAAAGATGCCTTCAAAGCGCCTCAGAGGTCCATAGACAAACCGTTCAGACTGTGTGTCTCAGACGTGTTCAAAGGTAGAGTCACTGATATACACAGTATAAAAACATTGTTCACTTTAATTTTTGTAAAGTTACATAATGTCTGATTGTGCTGTGGTTTCTCTTTCAGACCAGGGATCGGGCTTTTGTGTTACAGGCAAGATTGAAGCTGGATACATTCAGACCGGAGACAGAATTCTGGCCATGCCTCCCAATGAAACCTGCAATGTCAAAGGTTTTGACCATGTCTTTAGTTTTGATTTCTATACTAACGATTGCAGCCATTTGCTCAGTTGATGCAGATGAAAGAAGTTATGATTTGAATTGCTTTGCTTTGATGGTTACCTAAAGATTATGATGCTGATGTATTTAAATCCTTAGACGTTTCTAATAATGACGAGTAAACACTGCCACCCTGTGGTGACGTTAGTCCTTACGCTTTGCCCTGCAGGAATTACACTACATGATGAGCCCCTAGACTGGGCTGCAGCAGGAGACCACGTGAGCCTGACGGTCACAGGCATGGATATCATCAAGATCAAGTAAATGAGTGACAGTTGACCTCGTATCATCCCAAAGCAGCACGATGTTGCACTGTTTTTAATCAGTTTAGATGGTGTTGGTTTTTTAATTTTTTTTTATTATTAGCTTTGTCCATGTTCAGTCCAGATTCTCTGAGGTTGTTAAATGAACCTTCAGCCATTAGCCTTTATTCTTGATCCTAGAATCAAGTCTTGCTTGTTTCTGTTCTAGTGTGGGCTGCGTGTTCTGTGATCCCAAAGAGCCGATTAAAGTCTGTACTCGATTCAAGGCCAGAATCCTCCTCTTCAATATTGAGGTCCCCATCACTCAGGGCTTCCCTGTAAGTGAAGTTTTTCATTTTCTTACTCACTTGTTATGTGTTTAATCACACGTTTGTGTTGTGCTGGTACGCTGTCTCCTTGTTCATAGGTGTTGTTGCATTACCAGACGGTCAGTGAACCAGCCACCATTAGGAAACTAGTTAGCGTGCTCCATAAAAGCAGCGGTGAAGTCCTTAAAAAGAAACCAAAGTGAGTGTTGGGAAGTTGGAGAGAAGGTTTAAAAAATGTTTGTGATATAAAGTGAAAGCTGTTTTTTTTTTGCTTCTGACAAAAGATTTTTTAAAATTCACTTTTTTTAAGGTGTTTAACTAAAGGCATGAACGCCATTGTGGAGATCCAGACACAGAGACCGGTGTCATTAGAGCTGTATAAGGACTACAAGGAATTGGGCCGCTTCATGCTGCGATATGTGGGCTCCACCATTGCTGCAGGAGTTGTCACTGAGGTGAAATTCACTTATAATGGGGACAAACAATCTGCTTTTTTTCTCTGTCATGACATTACGCCTTTCCTTACTGCAGATCAAATGAAGACCCCTCAGTCCTCAACGCTGCTACATCCTGACCCTGGAGACGACATGTAGCAAGAGGAAAAGAATTTCCCAAAGTCATGTCATGGGTTAGGAAGCATCGTGTTGATCCATCCAGCATGGCAGCTGCCTGACCTGAAGCTCTGCCCATGTGGACACAGTGATGCTTAGCCAACAAACAACCACAAATGCTTCTGTTTCTTTCTCTCTTCTTCTTTCTCTGCCAAAGGGTTCCCTCACCTGCTACTATGTTCCTGCTCATTTTTGCTTTCTCCTCCCAGTAGGAACCTGGGCTCCTCATGAATTTCGACTGAAATATCAATAATGGAAAAAAACAAAACAAAAAGTGCTGCAACTGCTAGCTTCAATTGCACAGTTCTGCTGCAGGGTGGAGTGTTCTCTCTGTCTCTATGGAAATGTCTTAAAAACCTGGTAGATGGACAATTAAAATTAGACAGAATAGCAAAAAATGATGTAATGTTATGATAAAGGTTTGAAGCATAGAGGACAAATGTTTACTCTAACAATGATAGAGTAGTTTAAGAACAATAAACGGAAAATTAAATTTCCACCGTGACCTGAAAATATTAAAGACATATTTTTCTTTACATGTGTTGGTAAAATATAATTACTTGGAATGCTTCTGTTTTAATTAAACCTTCAGGAAAACTGCACAGTGCTTTTGGAAGGACATGTAATTGCAAACAAATCTGCTGAACTGAGCTGGAAGGTGAAATGAGCTGTGTTTTTGTTTTTGGTTCTGATTATGCTAACAAGTGTGATGCTAACATGAAAAAAAAAATCAACTTGACTTCAATGATCTCGGTTTTGATTTGTTAAGAATTAAGGTTTATCCTTGGTGATTGTTGACAGGTTTAAAGTTTGGTTAAGACTCCTCTAAGAACATATGGCTGTCCAAGAACAACAGGTATGACCATCGTAAAATCACGGCAGTACCGGTAAACGAAGATCATTTATTTTTCATACGCTCAAGCGACTATATCAGCCAATATACCATGCCTTACCTTATAAGTGGGGTTGAATAACTTTCCCAGGCACACCTTATGATCTCTTACAGCACATTGATTCAAAAATTGGCCCCTTACTTGTCTCAGTGGGGAAATTCAGTGTGAGTCTTTGCAACCAACACAGACTGCCACAGGAGGCGCCATTAAGTATGTAGTTCCTCTATTTGCTCGAGTCCTGGGCTATCTGTGTGTAAGGCAGATTTGTTAACTGCTATTGCCACTAAAATCTAAACATGATTTTGAATTCCCATAAATAAATGTACAATGTTTCCCTTTCTGGCCTATAGATGGTGTTAAAATCTAATGTGATTAATCTTGTTATTGGAATAATCGCTTGCATTTCTAACAAAAATTAAGATTGTCCCATCTCCCCAGTCTTGCTGGAGTGGAGAATGATTAACTATGTTATTACCACACTACGTGTTGTGAAATATAGTGGGAGTAACTTTCACTTCCCTTTACTTTTTCATCTCACCCGAGCACGGTTACTCTCTGTTGTCTCTGTTTCATTTTCTGAACTTTTTTTTTTGTTTCCCCTCCTTAGTGAATAGTCATGTCCAAACCATCGTGCCTGGTTCTGAAGAACTTCATAGGTGGAAAGTTTGTCCCAGGTCGGCGCCACATTGAATCATACGACCCGTCTACTGGGGAAGTGTACTGCAAAGTACCTGACAGCAGCAAAGAGGAGGTGAGGGTCATTCCTATACTTTTAATATGGATTTGAAGTAAATACTGTAATGTCTTAGGTGACAACATGCAGATTACTTCTCTCAATACTTGCATATGAGAGTATAATTTATTTTTCTACCACGGTTTTCCCTGCAGGGTTTTTCATAACTAAACCTTATTAAGCAGGCGTTGGCAACCCTTACTTTTACAACACTGTAACCAGTGCTCAATCTTTAGCTTCAGTACGTACAGTGTGTTTTATTAAATGCTGTACCTTTGCTCTTTGCAGACTCCACAGTCTTGTCGTTAACTTTAAGCCTTGCTAAAAACCTGCTTTTTGTCTGTAGAAGTTGTAATTATTAACATAGAAACAGACAGAGTGGAGTCGATGGGTTGAACTCCTGATCCCTGACTTTCTGCGTAGTAAACCAGTGGACAGAGACGAATATGATATTCTGTCTCCTAGATGAAGAATCCCTTTCAGTTTGACTTTTATTAAGACTCAGTTTTTACATCAGATGACCTCCTGACCCCACCGAACTTGGGATAGGAAACCAAGAAATTAAAAAAATTATATTATTTTGTCTTTTTCTCAGTGCACACCCCCGCCCCCAAACAGATAACAGTGTATAAATGTTTATACATGCAGGTGGAGGCTGCTGTGGCTGCAGCTAAAGATGCCTTCCCAGACTGGTCCGCCCGCAGCTCTGAGCAGCGAGCCAAGATCCTCAACAAGCTGGCGGACCTGATCGAGGCCCACTTGGAGGAGTTTGCCCAAGCTGAGTCCAGAGACCAAGGTTTCAACAGACTGTAGAATTAGATCTTTATAAACTCCAGAGTTTAAAGCCCTGTAATTGTTAGAATCTAATGCCAGTCAGAAACTTCGTGAACCCAATTTACTGTAACATCCTTCTCTGGGCGTCATTCAATCCACAGGTAAAACCATTACATTTGCCCGAACTGTGGACATTCCACGCTCGGTGTACAACTTTCGTTTCTTTGCATCGTCGGTGCTTCACCACACCAACGACTGCAGCCAGATGGACCACATGGGCTGCCTCAACTACACCATCCGCTGCCCCGTGGGAGTAGGTGAGACCTCTCCCCCTCAGTCTACCCACCCCTCCTCTGCGGTGTACTGCAGTGCCTGTGATGTAACTGTCAAATTGTTTTGTGGTGTAGCTGGTCTGATCAGCCCTTGGAATCTCCCTCTCTACCTGCTGACCTGGAAGATCGCTCCTGCCATTGTGACTGGAAACACAGTGGTGGCCAAACCCAGTGAGATGACGTCAGTGACGGCCTGGATGATGTGCAAGTTAATGCAGGAGGCTGGTAAGACGATCAGGGTCAAAAATAAGACACGGGTCAGGGTTTATTGACCAACAGATCACTTTAATCAGGGTCTGAAAGGTCCAGCACCGGTGTCCATCAGTGTCCACATGGCCAGACCTGAAGGTCCACCAGCTTTTTTACATTGCTGTATATACAGGATACTTTCTGAAATACGTACAGTACAAATACATTTAGCAAGAAATAGTAGAATGCAATACTTTGTTCAGTTTATTTGTGTTTTGATCAACATATTTTTTGCAATATTTGAATCTACTGTAAATTATATTGTCAAACAGAAAATGGTTAACTCTGCCTGTCTGTGTGTCTCCACAGGAGTTCCTCCAGGAGTGGTCAACATCGTATTCGGCACAGGTCCCACAGCAGGTGACGCTCTTGTTGGCCATCCTGAGGTCCCTCTCATCTCCTTCACTGGTTCCACACTGACTGCCCAGCGCATTACAGAGCGCTGTGCCCCCTACTGTAAGAAACTTTCACTGGAGCTGGGAGGTAAAAACCCTGCTGTTGTTTTTGCTGATGCAGACCTGGACAAGTGCATCGAGACCACGGTTCGTTCCAGTTTCTCCAACCAGGTGTGAAAAAAAAGTCTTTCTTCTCTACTTTAACTTCTTGTTTGTAGTATTTTTCAACTGTAATTGTTTTTTTTTAAAAGTTTGATTAGAATATGGGCTTTTTCACTTTATAAATAAAGTCATCCAGTCACAACTATTTAGAGGCAACAGACAGGCAACGACAGCAGTAGTGTAACATAATGCCGTACAAACACACTCCGACAGGTGGCACTCTTTGACCATATATCACCATGATGTTGAAACTGTTTTTTTTTTTAACATTAGCTTTAAATCCAGTTTCATCCTTCCTGTTTTCAGGGAGAAATCTGTTTGTGCACCAGTAGAATATTTGTAGAGAGAAGTATCTACCCTGAGTTCTTAGAAAGATTTGTGGTCGCAGCCAAGAAGTGGAAGACGGGTGTACCCTCTGACCCTGCCAACAACAATGGAGCTCTCATCAGTAAAGAGCACTTAGAAAAGGTGCAGTCAAACAGCATGTTTAATTAAAATCAAACTTTTAAATCAGATTAATCACAGCATAAATGTGGATTTACACATTGATCGTTAAATACATATTATTTGTCCATCATTTTAAAATTATCTTTTAATTTGTCTGAAATGTTTAGGTTCGCAGCTTTGTGGCAGTCGCTAAATCTGAGGGTGCTACCATCCACTGTGGGGAGGGAGTGGACCACCTGGACCTGCCCCAGGAGAACAAGTCAGGCTACTACATGCCGGCCACTGTCATCTCAGGGGTCTCTGACAGCTCCCATGTGATGCAGGAGGAGATCTTTGGCCCCGTCACCTGTGTCAGTCCCTTTGACACGGAGGATGAAGCCGTCCGCAGGGCCAACGGAGTGCGTTATGGCCTCGCAGCCACCGTGTGGTCAAAAGATGTGGGGAAAGTCCATCGGCTGGCCAAGCAGCTCCAGGCAGGGTTAGTTTGGACCAACTGTTGGCTGGTGCGGGATTTGAATCTGCCCTTCGGAGGAATGAAGAGCTCAGGTGTGGGGAGGGAAGGAGGGAAGGATTCTTATCATTTTTTCACGGAGGTGAAGAGTGTCACAATCAAATACTAGCTGATTTCTGCACCACATTTCAACTTCTTAGAAAGTAAATTGGATACAAAATCTAATTTTATCACTCTTCAAAAATGAGATTAATAGGGTTGTTTAGTATTAGTACATTATTAGTATTTTCCATTTTAATAATGATAGTAGCTGCCATTGTTGTTTGTAATTGATAATGTTCTCTTAAGTTCAGAAATAATCTGTTAGGACATATCGGGAAATGAGGTCAGTCTAAAGTACATTTATGCTACTTTCAAGAAAAGTTTTTTTTATACGTCCAAGAGCAAGAATAAAATCAAGAAAACCTTTAATAATTTAAACAGCATATGTTTGTGCTCTGCACTGCTGTCTGAGGGGAAACACAGACACAAAGGTATAAAACCTGATAAACCAAAGAAAAGGTTAAGAAGAGTTTCTTTTAGATCAGGGGAGCACAGGCAAAAACCCTTCAACCCTAGTTCCAGTTTTTCATGTGTTTTGCAACAACAGCAACTATGTGGTGCCATTAATTAAAATACTTCAAGTGAGTTTGACATGTAGTTTACTGTGTTCATGTCTCCACATCTGGACTGTGTGTTTGTCTGAGGAATGCAGTGGGCCTTTATCATATCCACAGCTCAGTGACAGTGAGGGATGAGCAGGTTGTCACTAGAAAGCAGGTGCACCTGATGGATCAACATTCCTGAAGGTCTACAGTCACGTAAATAGATCTGATTGTTTGGCGGTATCAGTTAGCAGGGATTTTCTCATTTTTCAGGGATTTTTTCAATGTCGTCCAGTTTATACATTTTGTACAGAACTACTGTTTGACGCTAGGCTTTAGATTAAACATATAGGCTAATGCTAACAGTTTTTTTTTTTTTTTTTCTTGCAGTAACCTGAGGTGAATATTCATTGTTGCTAGTGAGTATATTATATATAATATTATATTATATTGAGCCTTTTACAGGAAACTGGAATTTTGTTTTCCGTCAGATGACGTTCATCTGATCTCACTGCTGTGCCGGGTGTGGTGGATGTGGGCATCATGTGAACAATCATGCCCCCCCACCCATATGTGACATTTACCACACAGCTAGTGTGTTTGTGTGTGTAAGAGAGAGTGTGTGTCCCACCCTCTGTGCTTTGGCTAGGCAATTGGTATTGTGCTCTGATGGGCTGCAGGACTGCACACACACATACGAGTCGTTGCGTGTGGTGGAATGGACTCCACCCAAACGAGTCCAGTTAGTCGGTCTGAGGAGACGTGCTCTGCTGCACTGGTGTTTAAATTTCAATTCTAATAGAACTGACTCAGCAGATATTTGTTTTCCTCTCCTTGCCCACTTTCTTCCATTGAGTTATTTTTCATATTAACTTCTCTATGAAACACGCCAAGGTTTCATTCAGAAGGGAGGCTCTCCGTCTGCGGGTCGCACCCATGTGGTACATGACCGGTGGACTGACCACCGGTGGATGCGGCCAATCCAAGCATGTCAAATTTCACCCCACTTATCAGCCACTGGGAAGGATTTATAACTGAGAATACTGAATACTTCCAGTTTATATCCACAGGAAGGTGGACTATCTGGATTATACAGTGTCAATGTGTGTTTTCCTGGCACACAGTTGCAGGGACAATTAGCCACAGTTCAATTTTGCTTTTCTGTTACACTGTATTTAATCCCACTTTATGCAGCATTGGTCCTGTGCCCAGACAGGGTCAGGTGACAGTCAGCTGACGACTGATCTGATCAAAATGCAGACCGCATTCTTAGCACGCATTTGCATGGTGCTAAAACATCCAAGTTGATATCTGTCAAGTTGGCTAATGTTTTTGAGGCACAGCAGACAGCAGGAGACAATCATCGCATTCTCCAAATTTCTACCTTTAGCACAGCTACATCTAAAATATTTGCCTCTCTAAGCACCTGCAGTATGACTTAAGAATGTCCAAATACAGGAACAGACAGTTTGCACCAATCACCCAGAATCCTCCATGTGTCTCACATGTCCCAAAATCTACAAAGACCACTGACCTAATTTTGTTCATTGGGAGTCAATAAGGTTATATCTTAAAAAAGAAGCTTATAATACATTAAATCATTGTTGTTGTGGATATTTTCTTAACCCTTTCTCAATTTCACCTAAACTCACAGTTTTTATCACCTCTCCTCCACCTCCTCATCTCTCTTCCTTCTCCTGAGGTCTCTCTGTCATGTTTTGGTTTAGGGACTTTTCCACTGAGTCGATAACCCTTGGCTGAAGTTGAATCCTGAGAAAATACTGCTGTTTAAGCAGCTTCAGTAAATACTCTAGAGCTAACAACATCCTATTCACATTGTGTGTGTATATATTTAGAAGGTACAATTTTGGGTTCGGGTTAGTTTGACACGGATGGTGTAATAAATCTTCACATTCAAATTAGGGGTGTATGTGCTCTATATAATGGGGGTAAGTTCAAAGTTTTTCTGGGTATACAGCAATGACAAATAAAAAATAATTAGTTGTTACATTTAATTTAGCTGAATTTAAATAAAAACATATAGCTTCAAAGTTGCCCTCATTAGAAACACTTTGTTTTTGCTCCACTTACAGTTGGACCAATAAGTACTTCCTAAAGACATTTCACTTGTGAATAAAGGCCATAACACGGACCTACTTCCATGTACTGTACGTCGTGTGCTGATGATTGTGACCTGGATCACAGCAGTCTGACTTGTTCTTGGCTGTGGGCCATGACACACTAAGACCTAACTATCTGTGTCACGTGATGATTGTCACAGACTTGAAAGTCAAATTTGAGTTTTGTTTCTTAACCTTGTTATTTAGAAGAAGGTTGTTTTGTTAAACCTTTATGTTGAATTGAATGTTTAACTAATGGGGAAAAAAGTTTCTTGAGAAAATTATTCAGAGAAAAAAAGGATTATGAAAGGAAATTAGTTTAGAGAGAGAGTCTTAATAAATAGAGATGACCTTAAAAAAACCTTCTTGGGGGTTTTAGTTTTTTTTTTAAATAATACATTCAAATAATAGAATTTATTGTTTGTAAACAGATAGACTGGCACGTCGTATAAGACAGCGCCTCCCTGACTCAGTTTGGCCACGGGCCACAGACTGAAGCCATTACAAAGTTTAACAATGATAATGTCTGTTATTAGCTGTTCTGCTAAACGAACCCGTTATTCAATACCTTTATTTTTTTTTAACACATCTATTGGACCTAATGTCCTTTTTAAAATAACTGACTCAACTGGCAGTGAACATTGACCTCCTTGTGTTAGAACACGGTGGCCCACATTTAAACGAACAATATGTTTTATTTAGGTTGTACTGAACATCCATTACAGTGTAATCAGTCACCTATATAGGCCTCAGTCATGCCATGCCAAGTGTTCTCATATGTGTACTGACCTGTGTTCTGTGGATCACTTGGATTAAAAAAAAAAAAAAAGTTGTCTGATCCAGCAGCTGAGATGGAAAAGAGAGGATTTTATTTGGTGTCAAGAGAATCGCAAAACAAACATCACAGCTGTGGTAAAGGCCGGTCGTCTGCACTGTGTGGTCTGTGGTGCACGAGGATATGTTGATGCTATAAAAATCATTACATTGACTGATGTTTGGAGGTGGAAATATTCAAACACAAATATGAAAATAACACACTGCAGATGCAGCGCTGTGGATGTTACGACCAGGCCTTTTTTGAATGGGAAATAATGTGGACAAAAGTAGGGAAATGCAACTGGTAGGAGCAGCTGTTGAGCTGCAACATCTGTGGAGTAAATATTCAGAGGGAACTGAGCCTGTGCTGAAGTGTCCTCAAGCATGTTCTGATCTGATTGTCACACGGTTGGGCTGTGGACGTCCCGCTGATTTCTCTACGGGGAATTTTCTCTGACATTTTGAGAGAAAGATTCCTCAGGCGTTTGTCAGGATCGTTCAGATTTTTTTCAGCGGAACATCTACACGGAGATTCAGCCTTTTAGGGCGACCTTTTTTTCCTCCCGTTCTCAGCTCTCATGTGATTCTAACGCGGCTGAATACTGAACATATTGTCACGTATGCTGACTGTCATGCAGGTAATAAGTCACTCAGGTTGAAATGGGAGTGCATGCTCACTGTCAGACCATCGTGTCTCTAGACGTTACCCTTAAGGAGCCTGAAAGTTTGTCCCTGAAGCTGTTCCTGAATAGTCTTTAAAAGTTCAACCATAACCAGGCTGCAGACGAACATCATTAGCCTCCCTTTCAGTCTTTCAGCCTTCAGTCTCTCTCTCTCATCTCTCTCAGTAATCATTGTCTCTTATCTGTGCTGCTGCTACAGAGCCGTGTCTATTCATCGCCATCCTCTGGTGACTGTGGCCTAGTTTTTTTTTTTTGTATTTATTTAATTTTTTTATTGAACTGTAATTAAATACATTGAATAGAGGCAGACAGCTGACCTCTCAGGTGACCATGGAGGAAGAGATAAAAGAGTTGCTGGATATTGAAGATAATGACAAAAGAATAAAACGTAATTCCTGGTCTTATTATTCACTTGTTTGTTTGGCCGTATGTCCTTATCTGAAAAAGAAATACATTTTTCCCAGTTGTTCATACGAGTCTGCCGTTTCTACTGCCACAAACACGCTCTTCAGATCTAAGACTTAATTATTCAGATGTGCTTTTAATGGCTGACACCGTAGTTCTTTTTGTATTCTTCCTTACAATCCTAATGTGTCTTTAACCAGCTGATTGATGTGTCATATTTTAGTTGCACAAACTGATGGTGAAGGATTCATTTAATCCAGTCCTACCACCGGTTTTCATTTCAAGCTGCAGGACCCTTGACCTGCGGGCAGCTCAGACAAAATACTTCTTGAGCACAAAAAAGATTTAGCCTGGCAGAGAACTCAAGACGAGCTCCTCTGCCTCCTTTCAATGAATATATAATCCCAACCCTCCGTGGTGGATTCCTTTAAAAAAAAAAAGTACCTCTCGGCAGTGGCGTTTCACTGGATACGGGCTGACAGAGCTTGATTTCACATTCCACAGTGAGGGGACGAGGATGACACCAAATCCTCCCCTGAATGTGGAAATAACGAAGCCAATATGTCACCGCGGTGGTGCAGTGTGGCGGGCACGGCGCCTCCAGCATGGCTGCCTCACAAAGGCCACGGGAGCTCTGCTGGAAGTGAACAGAGCTGCGGTCTGTCTGTCAGTGTGTGGGCGGATGAGTGGAAGCACAGAAAAGAAGCAGGCAGTGAGAGAGCCAGAGTTGCTGACTTTTGCTGACTGGTCAGTCAGCCTGCAGTACCAGATGGTCCAGTTTGGGCTCTGATCCCTCAGGCCATTGTCCAGACTGTTTGTGTACACACACACACACACTTAGGTGTGTACACAAGTAAACAAAACCACATCCAAGAGCCCGTGTGCTATTTTTCGGTTTTCACCTAGAAACTGTACACTCACCGACCACAGCTTGGAGCCCTCCACTCATCCTCCCACTGCTCCGATTACCCACAGTACACTGGGAATGTGGTTGGTACCTGAACTACAAAAATACACAGGCTGCTGAAATTAGACCGACCCAGCAGAGGATTATATCATACCTCAGAGAGTATAAAACACAGTATATATACATATACATATACATATAATTCACTGTCTCTGAATGAACTCCTTCATAATCCATTTGACAGTCGTGTCAGTTTGTCAACTGTAAGTCTTACTGCCCTGCGTTCGTTGACCCAGGTCAGGCTTCTGACCTGACAAAACCTTTTCACACAGTTTGTATGGCAGAGGAATTGCTGTTTGCACTGAACACTAGTGTCACTCGGCACATTGGTTAAAATAATAATCTGGTTCTTCTTTCTTCTTTTTCTTTTGGCTTTGTCCCTTATTTTTCAGGGGTTGCCACAGCAAATCATTGATTTCCATCTCTCCCTGTTCTCTGTATCTTCTCCTCTGACTCCAACTATCTGCATGTCCTCCCTCACTGCATCCAAAATAATAATCTGGTTAATTATACATAATTAAATAATCAAAATTAATCTATTAATTTAAAAAGCCCTAAAATATACATTTTTTCACATCTGTTCTGAACCATCAAGTGATTTTTTCTATATCTGTGTGTACAGTGAAATTCACTGCCTGTCTCACTCATCTTATCTCTTTTCTGTTTTTTTTTTGTCATCAGACCTTTGTGTGGGCACACACCTCCTCACCTTACTCGTCCTTTTGTTTTGTGGCTCCTTCCTGCGTTGCGATTGGTCCACCGGAGACACACCACCTCCTGGAGCTGAGCCACAACGCATCGGACATATCACAGAGCACACAAACAGGTGATGACCCACAGTGACACATGACAAATAGGATGCTGCGTGACCCTCGGTCTGTTTACATTTGCTTCCTGTCCATGAGCAACAGTACAAGCAGAGCTGTGTCTGACGCCCGGGACCGCTTGTCACAACGATAACACACGCTGATAAACAGAGTGAAATTCCAAACATAACTCAGGCTTTTAAATGTTCGTTATCAGACCTGTATCAATATTTTATTTTTTACATTACCTCCTGTGTCCTTTATCAAAGCTGGATTTCCCCTTACTGCCTACAATAATGTCATTTTTACATGATGTATAACACGATAAAAAAAACAAATATTAAAGCATCATTTACTATTCTAAGAGGAAAAAATACTGCTGAAAAATATGATGTTTTCTTTTCTTTTTTTACATTTCTGCATCTTCTCATCTTCCCGGGTTTTAATCTTTCTTCTTGCAGTTGCAGCTCAGTTCGGCCATAAACATCTGATTTATGACATTGATCTTTGCTGCATCTAAACAACTAGAGAGAGTATAAAACAGCAGAGAGACTATTAATCAGTTGTTTCCGTTTTGGGTTTGTTTTATGATCTTACTACTCATCTACTGCTGACTTTACTGCTCAGGTTTGTATTGAAGGTGATTAATTAAGATCCCAAAACAACTGGTTAGTTAGTGAAACTGCTGGATTAAAAGCCGTGGAGTGATGATGAATGATTACGGATTAACAGCACTTTAAAAAAAAACACAATGAGATGATGCCATCAAAAATGTTTAGGAGCCAATTTCTTCTTGTCGTACAGTGGAAACATCTCCAGTTCGATTCCCAACACAGATTTGAAATTTGACATGTTGTTTTCTGTGTGGCAATCAACTGACCTTCCACCTTTGCTGACGGACCTGAGGCTATCACCGTTGATGCACCCGATTGGCCCTTACACAAAAACAAAAACTACCCTCATCCTAGTGTGCTAGTGTGTTGTTGTGAGGAACAAGTCAGGAAAAATTGATTTGTTGCTCAGGCAAATGTTAATATTTGACTGTTGGCTTGTTTATGTCGATCAGATCGTCCAGTTGCGTGAGACAAGACACGTGCCACCAAGTCACGGGCCTTTCCTCTCCTCTACGCCATAGATCCCTGATGTCACATTATGAATAGGACAGAATCCCCCCCCACCCCCTCCCCCTGCATGAACCACAGCACAACAAAGTTACTGCTGTGGACCAGAATGGTTCGAACAGACAAAGTGGGAGGGGTGGTAAAAGAGGAGGTGGATGTTTTGCTTTGGTTTGGATTGGGTGTTAGGAAAGTCTGTGTAGGGTTTCAGGTCAGTGAGGAGCCAGAATATAAACACGCCGAGAGGAAAACGTGAGTGTGTGTCTGCGTACACACTCTTTGATGTGGATGAATGAACACAGCGTTAAGTTTACTATAATCCAATTTCACACACAAACACACACACACACAACTCTGTGAAGACTCTGCAACATTTGTACGTACGATTGAACACATAAGGACAGTCTGCAGCCCACTACTGCCACTGTCATGCCATTGGAGGATATACTGTATATAAATAGTGTTTAAAAAACATCTAATTATCATATTATTATATATACTGTATATATGTGTGTAAATTAGTTAACATTATTATATACTGTATTAATTAATAGTGTTCAAATATTCTCTCACCAGGGCCGGCCTCTACTCCCTACAAGAGCTCCTGCGACTGTCAAGGTCAGTATTTCCACTCAAATAAACGTCCTACAGCATCATCACAGGTTACACTCGTTCATCATGTTACATAACGTTTGTACAGCAGCATTTAATCAGTTGGTCATATGCACTGTATTTAGCAGTGGGAGGACACGCTGCATCGTCAGTACTGACTGTGCACATCCATAAAGTTCAGGATCATAAAAATGTTAAGCTCCAAACACAATGGAGCTAATTGTGTTGAAACAAAGTGTGCATCCTGCACAGTGTTCCTGAGACATCATGAAATGTAATTATGGGCCATGCCAGAACCCAGTTGCAGCCTTGCAGCTACATTTTTGTTATGTCAACATCACTTTCTAGTTTGTTATTGTTTATCTTTTTTTTTTTTTCTGCTAGCATTGAATTTGAATCAGTTAAGCCGTTGGAGTCATCACACAGTCAGGAAAGTGCAGCATTCATTTACATCATATTTAAATTTTCATGTGGCTTACTTTATTAATAAAGATGATGAGCGGCATATTTTCAAAACATGTCTTGTCCAAATGTTTGGCGCTGCAGTTTCATTGTGGTACAGTTAAATTACATGGCTTGCATCCATTTAAATTTCATTAAAAAAAATATGTGGATTTACAGGCCCAGGGGATTAGGACTGTCATCACACTTCCACGGTCTGACAGAGGCTTTGTGCCTCCCATCCATTTTAAGTGCTGTGTTGACCACAGGGTCCAGAGTAGGTTTGAATGAAAGTGTGTGTGTGTGTGTAGTGTGTGTTCTCCACTGGCTAAAGGTTATGGTCTGTATAAACAGGGAAGGGGATTTATGCATGGGTTCTTCCCTGATCCTTTTTTATACTTTGCTGGTTTCTACCTTTCTGTCTCCTCCACACAAGGCGTCAGGTTGCGTGTGCGAGTGTGTGCTTGTGTTTGACCTGCAGGACCGCAGTTCAGACTGCTGTCTCCATGGCGAGGGCTGCTTCCTGTCGTGGGAAGGCTCGGCTTCCTGTGCTGAGAGCACTGCTGTGGCGCGTGTGTGTGTAGAGTACAGTAGATTTCCCATACTGGAGGCAGCCGTGTGTACAGTTCACGTGCTGACCGCAGAAGATTTGTCGATTAATGAGCGATTAAAAGGAAATCTAATCAAACGTCCACGTATTTGGTCTTGCATTGAATCCTTATTCCACGTCTTCTTGGCATGGTTTTTAAGAAGCATATACAGCAGCTCCTCAGTCCTCTTTCATCATTGTCTTTCATCTTTTGTACTCTATTAGAGGACAATTATTCATCTCATTGTTAGGAGGACGGCAGGACTGGAGGAGACAGAGACAGCATCCGGGAAGTCATTTCAAATCCCTATCAAGTCGCGAACACACATGGATGAGTCATCCTCCCGTCTGATTAGACTCCTGCTAGCACGAGACCAGAGCAGGAGTTCTGAACCAATAAGTATCCAAGGGCGGGTGAGGTTTGGGGTGAGGCGGAGGAAGCCTCTCGAAATAGCAGAAGCAGGCCAAAGGCATTGTTTGAACAGTTCCAGTGTCTGTTCTTTTTCTCCACTTGAGTCCTTCATCGCCGTACACCACACCCCTGCAGGACTGACTGGACATTAGACACACAGGCACCAGTGGAGGAAGCTATTCTGCTATTCTTTAACCGTCGCTTTTGTAGAATGTTGGCAAAGGATAAAAATGAGCTGAAAGGAGGAAACATTAGCTTAAACGTTACATATTTTGAATGGGTTTTTTTTTTTTTTTGGCTAATTAAATAAAAACATGCAAAGAGGAAAAAAAAAGTCTCTCTGCAGAAGCTCATAGAAATCTTGTATCAACACAGCATTGAAAAGTGTTTATTTTATTTGTCAAGAGTTTGGATTCTCAAGCGTCGCACATGAATCATCGTCAGACGCGATGGGAATTCTAACGACCCTACAACCTTCACCACTTCAGACAAGAGTGATTGCTCGGCTTAAATAACTGCACTGATTGCTGTCTTTATTGCTTTAGTGCAGGCCCACAGTTATGTTCACTTGAAGTCTTGGATAGAAGAAATTTCTCAGAATATTGATTAATAATTAAATTTAATTGTGAAAATATTTAAGGCTAGTCTGTGGTTGTGGTGTTATTAAATGTGTGGTTTATGTACAGTTATTAAGTATGCTCCAGTTAAAGCTTTGTGACTGTGTCAGAGGTTAGCAGCTCCACGGATCAGTGTTACATTATTATTATTACATCACAGCTACCTAGCCAAGATAGCATCATCTTTGCCCGTGCTACACAGACTGACAGCTAGCTAGCTTCATATCTTGTTTCCAGTGCAAAACAGTCCATTTAACCTATGAACCATGGCCTTCAAACTGTGTTTACAGCACCCCCTGCAGGGATGTGGGGAGTGGAATCTACCATAAAGCTTTGTGCAATATTAATGCACAGTCTACCTTTAATAATGTTTGCTGACCTAAAATGACCTTTGAACATGTGTCTTCTGTGACACGTGGCCTCTTCAGTATGACCTTTTAACCCTGGCTGCAAAGTCTTCCAGAAACGTTATGAGCGTGTCTGAAATAGCTGTGCGTGTTTGACATCTGGACTGATGCTTGGAGTGCTGATGACTATCTGACTTTTCTCTTTGCTTTAAAACCAGTCTACCTTTATCTTGGGATTTTGTCTTATCTTCTACTTTTGAGATTATTGAAAAAAAGGAAAGAAGTTTCAGCACACATTTTTTTTTCAGTGGCATGACCTTAAACTTACCTAAAAGTCAACTGAGCAGTTTCATCCCACGCTGCAGACTCCAAACCTGACAAGGTTTCACTGAAGCTGCTGTGGCCCAGATTTAATATGAATGGTTTTCATAAGTCTGACGGTGAATGAAGCGCTGCGGCGTTTTATGAAACCGTTGAGCTGACAGCCTTTGACATTTTAGTCAGACAGCTCTGTCAGCATCTCTACATGGCAGCAGAAACAATAGAGAGAGATGCTAATGTTTCAAGATAGCAGAGAAGAAGAAACAGACACACACACACACATGATCTAAGTGTGTGTGTCACATTTACAAATGTCACAGGGCAACACAGTTATATAAGCCCGTGTTTCAGACTGCTGCTCCTGTCTCAGAGATTAGATAAAAGCAAATGAAATCAGATCATGCCTTCACTCAAACAATTGAAATAATAAATATATACATGATTGGAAAAGAAACAGCACACAAAACATTTTCTTTAACTGCCTCAGTTTAGTTTTATGTCCCATTTTATTGCTCTGTTAAACAAAACTTCTCCAATCTGGACCTGGGAGTAGAATGGAACGGATTTTAGGAGAATCTAAAAACAGCATCTGCTCCGTTTTGACAGGTTTCAAATTTCACGTCTGCCTTCAAAACACAATTTCAGTTCTCACGAGGACATAAACGTATTTAATGATAACCATCCCTTTGCTTTATTAGCTTTTTGACTCATGCAAATTATGAACGTGTTACAGGATGATAATTATCAGGGAGTTGATTTGAGGGAGGTTTTTTTCTACTAGTGATCAAAACTAAATAACTGGATTGGGCTGATGTTAGAAAAATACACAGTTTAAAGAATTTAAAACTGCAGCCTGTGCAGCAGGGACGTGATGCTACTGTATTTGGATGTAGAAAAAGAGTGCACTGATTAAAACATTAGTCAAAAGTCATTCTAATTTCTATTCTAATAGGCTCATTTTGGCCAAAGGGATGTTAATCTAAAATGTACACATATTTCTGGCAAATAATTAGGGCGGGGTATTTTTTTCAACACTTTTGACCTTAAACCTTTTACTCCTGCCTGGTCCCATGATGCAACACATCTGCTGTGATGTAACATCTCTTGACGTTGGTATTTCTGACTGTACATTAATGTCATAAACCAGGCTGTGAGAACACAAACTGACAAAATTCAAATTGTTAGCATTGACCATGTCATCAACTGTAGTCCTGGTGTGGACAAAAGCTCTGTTCTAATGGGACAGAAAGTCTCTGATTGGACGGTTTGAGGCCAGAGGTCATGAGGTGAAACCACATACCAACCATGTCTAAAATGCAGGATTTTTCCTCGACCCTGACTTTATGTGTCTCTAACTTTGACAACCAAGACAAACAAGTTGTTGCATTGTACAATATTTTTCCTTTTTTTTCCCCCTCACCCTTAATATTATGCTTCAGTATCTTGAAAGAAGCATTTGGTCCTCAGATTCCCAGGCATGTAGAGACATAAAGTATCAACACATAAATGGAAAGTCCTCTCATTGAATTGTGCATTTAAATGTTGTTTCTTTTGATCTAATGAGATGGATTCCACACCAGTGATGTCATAGCAAACTTCCAGCTGATATAATTTAGCTTTGATGAGGAAATACACACACAAACACTTGGAGCCCCCTCACGTCCTCTCATCCTCACTGAATTTTTCTCTCCCGCTTTGTATGTCCCTTCACGTTCAGTGTCCTCTAGATCTAAGACTCAGCTGAATCATGACTCGTGAACTGGTGTATCCTCGTTGGGAACACGGGCCGATCACCAGCATGGACAAAAAAAAACTCATTACTAGGCTGCAGGAAGCAACAAACGGGAGGAGGGCGAGGAACAAAGGAAACTGTAGTTAGCTGGAGAGAGAGAGAGGGGAAAGATGGGATTGGACCGGGGCTAAAGTCGGTATAATTACTAGATCTTAGAGAAAAGTTAATGACTAAGTAGCTAATGATGACGAGGAGGAACAAAGAGAGGAGAAGGCTCGGGGAGAATATGGGAAAAGAAGTGAGTCCTGATAATAAATTATTTGGTGGAAAAACGAGGACAGGAAGGAGGGAGGGAAATAAAGAAACAGACTCAGAGCAAGGAGAGAAATTGGTGCTGACATTGAGGAGTCAATTAGTGGAGAGATGTGAGGAGTGGAAGGAGACAGAGAAGACAGGACTCACATACACACACTCACACACGCACACACACACACACACTCTACCTGTGTGATACACCTGTCTTACATTTTGTCTTTGTATCTAATTTGTATGCCAGACATGTTCCATCTCTCCTCATCTGCCCTCTGTGTGTGTGTGTGTGTGTGTTGTTGTTGTTGTTGTTGTTGTTGTTGTTGTGCACGTGTACATGCACAGGCACGCCAAGACCAGTCAGTCACCGAGTAGTTTAACCAGACCGCCCGTCTGCAGACCTCATCTGCGCACCCATTGGTTAAAGGGAAGTCCTGCGCAGCCAATGAACTCGCGATGAGGTTTTATGGCCCGACTGGTGAGTGCAGTAAACCTGGGTGTGTGTAAGGAGTGAGTGAGGCGTGGGGGTCTGTGTTTGTGTACAAATGCTGTGCTTTTGTTGCTGTGGAGCAGAATAAGTCCAAGGTCCACAGTGTGTGTAGTGAATGGACACGTCACGCCTGTGGTCAGGTGGATGTGTGACCCACCCCAGTGGGCATATATTGCATAACTAGACTATTCAACTTGGCCCCCGGTCTGGGGTCGGTGTGACTCATATTTGGACAATATTCATTCAAATGTCAAACATGTTTTAACAGCCGAGACCAAACCTCACTGAGTCACTGGGAAGCCAACAACCCAAAAGGCTGGTTTGTTTACAAGGTTTCAGAATAAATGAAACGTTTTCTTATCATATTTGACTGTGTATAGAGCGCGTGTTCATTCATAATCTGTGTTCAGATTAAACACTGCCAAAACATTTCCATTTTAAAGCAGGCGCTGGAACGCCGCGGTGCATTTTTAAAGTTATCCGCACACGCCAATCCTTGAGTTGGCATCTCCGACAGCCTCCTGAAGTGGCAAGTACAACTTAGAAATTCCTAGGCTAAAATGTTCGGTGACTTCTCAGTGACTTGTTGTGGTTCGTCTTAAAGCAACGCAAATGAAATGGACAGAATAGAACCCACATTTCAGTGACCCGAGGCATGAAGAGGCTGCTGTTAGAGTATCCTGATAAAATACTTTTGCCAAATGAACACTAATGGCTGACACTTTATTCTCACAGTTCACTGTGACATCATCGAATTGATTTAATGCTGGTTTTTCCACCATAGGAAGGGAAGAGCACAGGCAAGTGTATGAAGAAAAAAGTGCATCGTCATTTGGCTGGAAAACTATGGCCGTTCTTTACTGTTGGTGTAGTGTTAATTAGTTAAGCTAATTAAATGGTATTCTTTCTTTGTTACATTTTAACAGTTTGTATTTCTTACTGACAGATTTTGATGTTTCTCACTCAGGTGGTTCTAACGACATCAGTGTGTGAACGCTGTCTTTGAGAACTGCATTCATTTAAGGTCACTCTCTTTTTCCAGGACTGAAAGTACGTGAATGATGATGAAGTTGTGAACTACAGTAAGTATAGGTGTGTGTGTGTGTGTGTGTGTGTGTGTGTGTGTGTGTATGCATCTGACCTGAAGGAAAACAAGCAATGTATGCATGAGTAATGGAGGTGGGAGGGTGTCTTATATAAGAGCCTAAAAAAAAATCCCGTGGCATTGAGAAGAAGATCTATGTGGAAGGGAGGGGTGAGGCTGTGATGCTGAAAGATGAAAGAGAATAAAAAAAAGAATTAGCTGGAGGCTGCAGCTGCAGCTCATTCAGCGTTTTCCTGTTTATTCCCAACAACAAAAGTTTGTGCTTTTTTATTATTCTTTTAAGCTTTTTTCGTTTGGTTTTGAAAAGTTTGTTTCTTTAACAACAAAAAATGACATTTGTGGAAAGGTATTTGAACCTGTCCAGTCGACCCCGGGGCAGCAGCAGTGACCGATTCTTCTCAACCCTGAAAGGAATCCAAAAGGCAGGAAATACCAAGAAAATGCTCTTTGTGAATGTCAGAGTTTTTTGAAGGTTAATGTGTTTAGACAATACAGAGCAATAAGTGATGATGAGTGAATGTGTTGTCAGGGCTCTGGAGATTTAGGCCAAAACGTAACATGGCATGAATTATATGATCCATGAGTCTTATTTCCTTTGAACTGAAGAAGTCCTTACGTATGTGTTTGAATACACGTGAATGTGCATGTGAGTATGTGTGTCGTGGGATGTATGCATGTGTGTGTGTGGGAGTTGATTTTATTATGTAAAAGCACTTTCAGCTTTTTGTCATATTTTTTTCCTTATGATCATGAGCTGAAGTTTGGGAAATACTGATTTAGTCTGTCGGCTTTATTTCCTGTTTCTTAATTACGGGTTGTTTAATTCAACACAGTATTTGGTCGAAGTTACAGTAAATCTCTTTTTTTTTATCTCATTGTGTAACAGAACCATAGCTGAAACTTTGACCTATTTTATTTGATCACTCTTTCTGCCATGACACACTTTTGTGAGCTCATGAATCGGGAAGGAACTGAGGACGACAGGAG